GCCCATGGACAGAGAGCTCAGAGCTCTGTGCACTTCCAGCTGAGAGAAACCCAGCCAAGGGCTTTTCCCATCTACAGGAGAACTTCTAATATACATGAATGCTATTAACTCTGGTTGTCTTCTCGCTGGTTTTTAGTTTAAAATTAAGACTGACTTTTTCTCAGAGTGGCTTCCAAAAGGATCCAGGGGGCAGGAGACTGTGGTGAGACTTGGCAGGTAGGAGGGCTGCCCCTGTGAAGCCTGCTTGCTCCAGATAGAGTGCTCTGTCTCTCTCACTTTAATAAATATTCACCCTGTTGCCATCTTAAAGACATTTCTCTCAATCAAAGGAGATGTGGTGCAAAACAAAAGGTGCTGGGTCATGCCAAGATGTATTTGGGAAGGGTAGAGAGAATGTGTGAAGCACCAAGATTATATGCCCAGGGACAATCTGATTTGTACCATTTTTTTCTAATCTTTCCTATTCTATTTGATCGTGGTTTGCCAAAATCAACACCACTGATTTTAATACAGGTGCCTTTGTTCCCAGAAATGGTCTGAACGAAACCTGGGATTATGAATTCTTTCCCATGTCACGCTGAACCTTGGGAAGCTTTCCATGCAGCAGGTAATCCTTTGATTATTTATTTTTTCTTTCCCTGTTCGCTGTTATTAACTTCCTCTACCCAGGTTTGACACTGTTGTAGCAGGATTTGCTGTCCCACACCGTGGTGTGACAGAGGGCTGTACCCAATACAGATGGAGCTTGTAAATGTGATTTTGGGTGCTAATGTGCCTTGGAATGTCCAATCCAAATAATATCCAGGATGTGAATATTGCAATTGCTGCATGGTTCGCTGCCAGACTTAGAAGAGTCAAAATTTGGGATCAGGTCTGAAACAGAAAAAGGCTTTGGAAATCTGCAAGTTGCCTTCTATGCAAGCCCTTCAGGCACATTCAAATGTAGAATATGAGAACTAAGTATGAAAATAAAAGTTATGAAAAAGATTGCCTTAGTTTCACTGTTCCTTTAAAACTTGAATCTCAGCCCAAGGTCACAAATTGGTCCTTCCTGTTTTATAGACTTATAAAGAGACCCTGGGCAGTGTTTTGAGTAAACCTGGACTTAGTGCTGGCTTAGTGTTAAAGAAATATGTGAAATCTGTGGTTCTGCAGAGTTCCAATGTGAAAGCTGAGGAAATTTGTTAAAAGGGAAGGGTGGTTGGTGGTTAATCACATACCTGAGGCACAAGCAATGAGGGTCCCTCTCAGAGAGGTTTTCTGGGACAAGTCATGTCACATCCTTCTGTATCAGCTTTATCATAGTAATGACAGGGTGGGAGGATTTATCTGCCCTACCTGCCTGCCTTATTTTCAAAATAGGTTGAAAACCCCTGGAGATGGTGTAATAAATGTTAAAATTACTTCACCCAAAACCATTTAAAGTTTCTGTCTTTGGAGGGGTAGGAGATCTCACCTCTTATAATGTGAAGAGGCAGCAGATGACCTATTAGTTTGCATCCTGCATATAGTGATCCATCAACACCAGGATCAATTTCCTGAAGGTCACTGGCTCTTTTAAATCCTGCCATCCTCTTTGAATTCAGACAGCAGGGATTTGGCTTCTCTCTCCCTCACCTGCATTTTCCCTTCTTTCTCTTTTGATAAACATAGGCATTGCAGCTTTAAGATTTTAAGACCTTTCCCAGATGGAAAAGGTCATTTGTCTTTCACTACTCAACACTTCCTTCATGAGTTCATTTAAACATTGCCAGGCATCAGAAGAACAGAACTCAGCTGTAGGGTTATCTGTGTCTTATTCCCCTTTTGTGTAGGTGGCAAAACTGATCTAGAACAAAACTGTTTGGTTCCCATAGCAATTTACAATGTGCAGAGACCATAATACTGTACTCTTCCCACTCCTTATCTACACCTGTTATGTCTTCCTTTGCCACACTGCTAAGAGCTATAACACTGGCACTATTTTGAATGGCATCAAGCAGGCCATTTTCCCAAATTTCATGCAATTTCTCCCTGTTTCTGGTAAGGACAGGATGTATTTTTAATCCGAGGAGCAAAAAGCAAACATTTTATTAGCCACTTTCAATTGGATTCTCAATGAAATGTTAATTAAAGGAGTGGAATGAAAAGATATTACAGTGCATCTACTAATCTTGGTACATTATTTATATGAAATCAGTCATCAAAATTAGTCATGTGCACTATCTTGCTGTGTGTGGTCTGGTTTGAAATGGTGTGTTTGTTTCCATTCAGCCCCACTGGATACAGTTAAGATACACATTTGATGTGTTATGCAGTTAGATCATATTTTGAAAGTTTATTATGCTCTCTATCTCTCTGTATCTGCAGGCTCAGAGTCAAGGGACCATTAAAAGCTTTCAGCTCAGCTTTGCAGTGTGCCTGAGATGAGACAAGTGACAAAAGTCCTCCTTTCCCGTGAGCTCACAGGCAGGCACAGCTGGCCCCAGCACGTCCTGTCCCAGCCCTTGGCTGTGTTCCCCTGCCAGGTGCTGCTGCTGCCTTGGCTGCTGGGCCAGGGGAGCAGTGGTCCCCAGCCCCGTGTGGCTCTGTGACAGCAAGGACCCTGTGTCCCCCTGGCCGTGGCACTGAGGAGCATCCCTTGCACCCAGCCCCAGGCTGGTCTGCAGAGTGCTGCCTGCTCCATCAAGAATAAATCCCTCTGGTTCTGCTGTCAGAATCTGGGAAACTCTTACCCCCTGCAGGTAAAACAGTGCCTGCTTTGTTTGGCTTTTCTCACTTTTCTCCTTAGTATGTGCACCAAGAAAAATCAGGGCCAACAGAGTAATTTCTGGGTGGTCAAAGAGCTGCTCCTTCCCTCCCTGCCTTGTCTCATCCTCTCCTGCAGAGAGCAGATAGAGTTACAGATCCCAGGAGAGGAGAATAGTGTAATGATCCCTCCTTAAGGTCACTGTCAATGCTGTTGCATGAACTGACCTACTAGGGGCTTCTGTGGGAGCAGTGCTGTTAACTGGGCATGGAGGGGTGTAGCATTACAGAGCAGGGCATGGAAGTCTCCCACTTAAATCATGGAAGCATTTTAATTGGCATTCAGTAACTCTCCTTTTCTAACAGCTGCCTTTAACAGAGTGAGCACTGCTAATGCCAGTCATGGGGCTGCTCTGTGCTCTCTACCACAGCTCCTGCCTGAGCTGCAGGGACAGCTCAGTCCCTGAGAAACGCACCTGAAAATATCATTTATTCACTGCAAAAGGCAAATGTAAGTGCACAGCCACTCACTTGCTCAGCACAAAACAGACTGTGAGCAAGAGCAGCTTGGATGGGAAAAGCTAGGTTAAGAAATAAGAAATAAGTGTCTACACTGGCTGTGGGCTGCTCAGCTCAGGGGTGAGTTGAGGCTCTCTGTGAGTTTTTCCTGGAAGATGGGGAAAGGAGCAGGTCTGCCTGCAGGGAAAGCAATTCAGGGAGGTGGGGAGATATTCCAGCTGATCCCCTTTCCCTTGAGTGCTTCCTCACCTTTCCTCACTGATGTCCTTCAAAATGATTACATTTTTAAACTTGTGAAAGGCTTTTCAAATTTCACATCAGCATCTCCTTCTTTGAAGCCCATACACTTTTAGAGACACTTGATAATGTGGCAATAATTTCATATACCCCAGCCCCTTGCTGCAACAGCAAATCACCAAATACTCTTTTGCCATCACACTGCTTTGCTTACTTGTGGGCAGCTTAAGAGTTGATATAAGGGCATGATAGAAAATCCATCTTGCAGGCTCAGACCAGACATATTGATCCTCTAGAATGAGGATTTGTGCTCTTGAGCATCTCTCCATTAACTATAGCAACAGGAAATGTGTCTATAGCTGCAAAAGGGCAAAATAAAGAGGAGAGTTAATCCCCTGTGAGAGGGCATGGTGAAAGTCCAAAATGTATTTTAGACCAAGATATATTTCTGCTCTCTGAATATATTTTGGAATTTTTTAGTCTGAAAACCAATGCATGTCCCTAGTTGAGCTGCACTATGCCTATGAGGGATTGCAAGGTAGCGGAAGAAACCAAATAAATCTGATTTTTTTGAGCTACAGACAGCCACTCTTGCTCCTGTTGGATAGGACCTTACTCTGGGAACAATCTAATTTTCCCCCACTTTCTTCCGGTGGGTGAAAACTGATTTTTGCTCTGATTCCTTGAATGGGGCAGTTGGGGTAAAATTCTCAGCTACACTGTAAATGAAAGGGGGGATGGCAGATATAAAAAAAGTCTCTTGAAATTTCAGTGCAACTTCTGGCAAAGCTAGGAAGCAAGCCACAGTCTAGATAATTTTCCATATTTTGTTACATATTCTCATTATTTTTCTGGTTACAATGGCTGAACCTGGGTTCAGTGTGTCCAGTTTCTCACAGGAGCATCATTCACTCTGTGTTCCAGAATGAACTAAAGCAGTAATCATAAAATGGATATCTCTTGATCAAGGATGCATCCTCTCTGACTTTTCTCATAAGATATTAATAAGAGAGACATTATCAGATTCCATTTAACAGGTGTGTAGAAGGGGAAATCTCATAATCATTTAATACCTTCTGCAGGAACATCCTTTGTCAGCTTTTGCTAATTATGAAGATGAAGCCATTTTCTATTTTGTTCCCCATTTAAAGCCAAAGACAAAATTCAGGCAACAGCAACAGCAATTTATTTTCTAGGTTTTGCTTTCTTCGTGCAAAGGAATGCCAAGGTAACCTCACAGGGTTGCATTTAAAAACAAGAATTCAGAGGAAAAATACCATGGCTTTAGCCCACTGTCTCTATTAGTTTATTAAAATATTAGTCTTGTAGGTGTGTTAGATTGATTTGCCTTCCATGGTGTTTAAAAATAGCTGTGAGAATAATGGGCTTCATCAAAAATCATTAACTGGGACGTTACTTTCATTTTTTAACCACAGAACAAAGTGTCACAGCCAGATTAAACAAGCCAGAAAGCATTTGGAACGCACACAAACAGCCAGAAATTTATATATATATACCTTAATCATGGAAAATCCTGGAAGATATTAGCTGTCTTCCACTGCAGTTTGGTCAGAATCCCTAAGAAAGGTCAGATTGTTTGAAGTGGCTGGTATTTGTACCAGCTGACATGCAAAGGCTCAGTTATTTATAGTGGTTTGCCTGCATCCCCACAATGCTAAGGGACTGAATGAGATTGCAGAGATGAAAGGAGGGTTCAGTCTAACAACTGCAAATAGCTGTAACTCAGTGAACTTCTAAATTATGATGTTACCAAGCCAGAGAACTGCCGAGCTTAAGCACAGGTTTTAATCCTTATGGGGTAATGGGATCCCAAAAGAGCCCCTTTTTTTGGAGGGGTGCATTTTATTTTGACAAAGTTTAGTTCCCTGTGTAGTACAATCAAACTTTAGGGCTTTCCTTCCAAGTTTCCCTTATGAGCTGTGTCGTCTTTATCTGGTTGTGTCAGCCAGCCCCTCTGATGGAGTTGTTTTTTTTAGCTATAGCACTTGGACAGGGAAAGAAGAAACTGGGGTCATCTGAGGAGAGTGTTGGGACTGGGAAGAAATGTGGATCCAAGTTCATCGGGGTGAATGTTCACCCCTTTTTGCTGAATATTTGGTAGGCAAGTGACCCACCATAGATCAAGAGGGAGAGGAAGAAGACATTTCTGATGAAAAGGAAAACACTGATAAAACTTATGGGAAAAGATAAGGGCAGTGACCATGGCCAAAAAGAGTGAAAACTCCTGTAAACTGGCACAGCAGATCTCTCTTGAAGAAACCACCCACAACTTCCAGTTTTACTGGACTAGTCAGGTCTCTGGGGAGAAAGTGCTTTCTATTAATCTGCAGGTCCCAATCATCAGGGAATGAGAGACATGGAAGGCTGGCCCAAACGGCCAAATGGAGGAAAAAGGCCCTTTCAGTCAGTTCAGCCTCATGGGAAAACTCCCATTTTGCCCCAGAAGCAGCAGGCAGGGAGCAGCTGAGCTGTTGTTTCTTTAAATCAGTTTGGTTTGGTGTGGGATGCCCTTTGGAGCACGGCTGATCAGGCCAAGAGTGAGCAGGGTGTTATCTCTGAACAGCCCACGAGCCTTCCTGAGCAGATAGCCTGGAAAGAGCCCCAGTGACTGGCCCTAATCCTAAAGCCTTCCCTCACACAGATAAACCCCCTACAGCCAGAGGGACAGAGGAAATTGCTGATATTCACTCATCTATTTATATTTAGACAAAAGATTAAACGACTTGGAACTGCCATGCTATGTCCATGGCGAGGCTCCTGCAAACATGAGAGAGCTTGCAAGGCTTCTCTGCACAGGCTTAACTGGAAATGGACTTGGGATTGTGGACACAGCAGTGTGCTTCCTCAATGAACGAAAGTTATGTTTAAAAAGGAAACAGACTGGTTTTTTTAGGGGTGAACTTACCAAGAACCATAATTTTGATGAAAACAAAAGATTCCTGTTGAATTTGTGTTTGTATAAAGCTTTAAACAATTCCACAGACATGAAGCATTGTCACTTTGTGAGGACTACAGGCAGGTTGAAACAAATTGCAGAGGATGTTCTGTTGCTATCAGGGCAAAATCACTCAGGATTTCAATTTCATAGGAAATTTCAATATTTCTTGTTCTTTTTCTGAAAAGGTATGAAAAAAGAAATAATCAGAAGATTGTAATATCCCAGGCTTCAAAGTGAAATTCCAGGTTTCAACCAGCTTTACTAAACCTCCCTCTACTCTTGACTGGCACTAGGCCAGTGCCAAGCTAGGCACCTGACAAATTTTATGGAATTGCCATCACCCTTTCTCCCACATTTCCTCACTAAGAACACCCATTTTGTCAGGTGATTTAAAGACACGTGAGGTGCAGGACCTCTTCTCTGTGTCCTGCCCCATGACACAGCATGGCATGAGCAACCTTTGACCAGTCACCTGGAAATGCTTTGCTCTTCATCCTCATGTTATTGCTGTCAAGTGAGTTGGACAGAGCAACTTCTGGCTTGATTGTGTTTGCATGGGTTTGAGGGATAGTTCCAAGAAGCATCTTCTGGTCATTGCTGTCTGCTCTAAAAATACTTTTAAAGGGGTTTTGGTGTTAGAGAAGACATCAGCAATTGTTTTTCAGGTGTTTCAGCTGTTTTACTGGAGGCTTGCAGAAACTGGACTGGCCTTTATTGATTTGCCTTGTCAGATTGTTGCTGTGCTCTCAGGGCAGTTCCCAGCTCCCCTTTCCCTCACTTTCCCCCCAAGTCCAAGACCTAGACCAATATTCTGTGCTTGGGATTCTCAATATATGAAAATCAAGAGTGACAAGAGGGACACCTGCTCTGTCAGAGGGGCCTGAGCAGGATAAGAGTTTTCTTCAGGATGGCCTGAAAGGATGGCAGGGACCTCTGCAGGAATGCAGCCTCACCACAGAGTGGGTCAGGGTGGAAGGACCACTGGGAGTCACCAGTGCAGCCTCCCTGCTCAGACAAGATTCCTCAGAGCACCCTGCCCAGGACTGTGTCCAGACACCTTTTGGATATCCCAGGGAAGGAGACTCCACAACCTCTCTGAGCACTGTCCTTGTGCTCAGCCACCTGCATGGTAAAGAATTTACTGATATCTTCAGTTTCTTCTTCAAATGCATGGACCTTTAACATGTAAATATAAAGCAAGACCATTCCAATCCAGAAATTCAGAAATCCAGCTTGATGATTCCAGTTTGCCCCATGCCTCACCAAACACGAGGCCACAGCGGAGTTTTCTTCCCCAAGAAGAGATGAGCAAAGAGACTGGTGACAGATGTTAATTAGAGTGTTAAAATCACCTCTGGAAAGAGCTCAGACATGTCGTGGGGCCTCCCAGTATACATCTATTTCCTTGGAACTTGCCTGTTGGTCCCACAATTAGCATGGAGCCCGGCCCTGCAGTGCACAGTGTACTGGAGGTGGCATTAAGGAGGACCTGTTTTCTTAGACTTGTTATTTTCCTCCCTGCTATCTGCAGTGTATATTTATGTTAATTGGAGCAATACATCTGTCCTCAGAGTTTATCAGATTCAAGGAGATAAGATATTGCCATCAAAGCCTACTCTGAGCTGCGAGCTCCTCAGTAAATCAATGTTATATGAATTAAGATTGCCTTGAGATTTTCTCTAGAACATTTCATCTGCCCATATCTGGAAAGAGTTTCTAATCAGAGCTCTGTAAAAAACAGCTTTAGGAATTTTCTCATGCAGCTTACAAACTCTGTGGTCTCAAACAGTCTTTAATTACCAGGGCTTCAATGGCAGCAATTTTATGATGTTTCAGAAGTGAAATGGTTTATACTCTGGTGATAAGGACTTCATAGGAGCCCGTAAAACATAAAGCAGAATTCCACAGCAGGAGATGGATTTTTTAATGGATTTTTTTCAGATAATTCTTAGCCTTTTCCACCAACAGTGAAGATACATAATGTGTTAATGGGCACTTACACTTTTTTATTTTTTACTAGTTTTACCTGGTGTACCTTTTACTTTGCCACATTTAGGTACAAAATCAACTCAATTTCTGTCCATTTGAATACAAAAAAAGCCAAGCATATTTCCACCTACCACAAAAATCTACCTTTTAGGACAGCTGTCACCACAACAGAAGCCCTGCCACAAGCTCCACGTGGATCACAGTGGTTGGCATTCTGCACTCACATGGTGGCCACAAGGGAAGGTAAATATGGAAGGGTGGTCTTGCATGTCAGAGCTGAAGTAAACATGTGGTAGCATTGGGGTAGGTGAAGACTGCCAGTATACACAGGAGTAACTTCAATTATCCAGTGCTGCTGAGTCTGGGCTTCTAGAAGGATAAATATTTACTACTCTAAATGTAATATATATGTCATACAAGTGTTTGTTGCAGTCTGTCTAGGATAGATTAAGGAAGTGTAAAAATTGTGTAGTTGTCACGTGGTCCTTGAACTAAAACTTTTCCTTTGAGCAGACAGGTACTATTTTAAAGTTCTATCACCTGCAGAAATCTTCACCTCAGCCTCATCAGAAATGTTCCAGTTTCTCTAACTGGGGACATTGTTCTTCCGGCAGGCACTGAGGGTCCATGCCCTAATAACTGATGAACCCTAAGTCCTGTCCTTGCCTTTGCCACCAGTCTGTGGGGGGAAAACAGGGGAGCTGTTTGTCCTCTGTGGTAGTACCAACATTACACCTGAAGTGCCAGGCAAACCTTTGCTCAAGACCAAACTTGTCCATGAGATTTGGGTGCAGGTACAGATGAGTCCAAAGCACAGGAAAGAAGACAAGTTTGACTCTGGACTGTGACTTCCTCCACTTTTGCAGTGAAACATCTCCGGGTGCTACTACATACAAATCAAATAATATCACCACAACTTTTACAGCTCAGTTGTACTTTGCTGCAAGGATTGGGTCTGACCCAGTCCCAGCCTGGACAAGCTCTGTCATGTGAAGGTTGCTTTGATTTATGCCTGCACTGAACAGGATCCAGGTGGCCCAAGGAGAGCCTTGGGTTGGGTTGCTCCCTCTCTAGATGAGCTCTGGCTGTTCCTCACCAGGTCACTCAAACACAACATTGGCCAGTCCACAGCACTGTAAATCAGGCTGCAACCCCCCACGTTTGTAAATCAGGCTGCAAACCCTCACGTTTGGTTTTGGAACAGTTAATGTCATTGCCTGGGGCAGTGCCTCAGACACGGCTTTATTTGCTTTGAACAGAATTGAAATGAGAAATAAAAACGCTGCTTTTGACAGCAGTTTAATTTTAAATAGATGGCATATTAAATACTGTTTCTTAGGGCAGCGGGTTAATTATGCAACCTCTTTCCACTGCATCTTGTTTATAGGAATGGACTGAATCACCCCTCCTTGCTGTGCTTCACATCTCTCAGGGCTGGCTTTCATTTTGGCAGAGCAGTCATCCCTTTGCAATATTTTGATATACATCAAAATGTTTTTGTCTGCAAAGCCATGTTATCAGACTGACATTCTCAGACAACCTTTGGGCTGAGTGGGTTTCTGGAGCTTGGCAGCACAGGCATCTTTCTATTTACCACCTTCTCAAAAATACAAGTGGTTGT